CAGTAATATATCGAAATTGGGTACGGTATTCAATATATTCTAAATTCCCCAATATATTGTATTAAATTTTCTACAAAATATTGAAAAAGATCGAAATCTTTACAATTTCATTATCTTTTATTAGGTTACCGGTTCATGTAGGTAATATACAGCCATATACAGTGGAACCCGATTATCTAAATAGCGTAACAAAATGAGAATAACATAATAATGAGAATAACATAATATTGTGAGTGGTAGATGTAGTACAGTTTATGTTTACAGAACCGTCTGATTTTATAAATAAAGTAATAGACTATTTAAAAAAAAATTTTTGTTTTTTAAAAAATTTTATTTGACTATAGTCGAAATATTGGTTATAATAAAATTTTTTAAAAACCAAAAAATTATTTTTAAGAGTATATTATTTAACTAATGACCAATTAGCCCGTATAAAAATAAAATTATTATTAAAAAATTTTTGATTGTTAAAACAATAAATTAATAAATAGAGTGATAAATAACGACCATACACTGTATACTACGACTCTATTTTCTGTTAAAGTTTTCAACATTTTTTTGTTTGTGAATTAATACTTAATTTGAAAATCACAACATATATAATTTAATTTATAATATATAAGTAATTGACTATCGAAATACTAAAACAGATTTTTTTGCAATTGTACATGAAGTACAGCGCCTGAACTTTATCAAAAAAAATTCCAATAACACAAAGTAGTTTTCTTCAACTAATCACATTTCTATTTAATATAATTCTTCTATCGATTAACACAAACCTCTTGGAAATATATAGGAAATTATAGTAGGAATAGTAAAAGTTTTAATGATTCATAAATAAACAAAAAATAATACACTTCTTAAACTTTACGTCATAACAAAATAAATAATAATAATTTTTGTAAATAAATTCTTAAAAAATAAATAAATAAAACAAATAGAAAATATTTTTTAAATTATAAATTTATTTTATTAAATAAAATAATCTGAAATTTTAAAAATTTTCCCTATTCATTTGATTTTCATAGTTTGTATCAGAGTTATGTGTGTATGTAAAACATATTTAGTTGTTTTTTTTTTTGTTTTTAATTTTAATTTTCTACTATTTGTTTTGTTATATAAAAAATATGAATTTAGAAAAATTTATAGTTTCTTTTTAAATTAAATGTTTAGGTTTTAGAATCTGAGTACATAACGATATTTTTCAATATATTTTAGTTTTAGATATTATATATATCCATTAATTAATATTACATTCATCATAAATAAATAAATTGATTTATTAATTTTATATAAACAATTATCCTGAACCCATTGGGTTGAAATTAAAACTGCACCACTGCAATATGCTCCACATATAAATGTATATAAAGGTACATGCACTATATGTGCAACAATAATGCAACAAACTGCTTAAATATATTTAATATTTGAAAAAAAAGTGTTTATTTTGTAAATTAAACTTAAGTACACTTTTATTTAAACTTTAGTATAGATGAGTAAAAAATTTATTATATTTTTAATTGGTCATGTATAAATTTTGTAGCCCTGGAGCATATTGCGTGATTGAACAGCCTGCGAAATAAAGCTCGTATCTCCCAAAAATATTTTTGATATTGAATGAATATATAAATATTTTAATAAATATTAGCACACATGCGACACATAACCATATTTAAAATTTATATACATAAAAATATATATTTTATCTAAATTTATTTTATATGGCTTTAAAATACTTATGAATAGCTTTTTGAAAAACATGACAAGCATTTTTCGTTGTCATAATTATTTGGATCAACTCTTCACTTTATTCTATTCATTAATTTTATAAAAAGTTATTACAAGAATTTGATTTGATATTAATTTTAAAAATATTTTCGATTAAAAATAAAAAACTTTTGAAGAAGAGTTTTAGTAGTTCAAATATTTCTATTAAATATTTTTGTTTGATATTTGCTTTAATTTTCGCTTTATTGAAGTTTTATTGCTACTTCTTGTTTTTCATATTTATTTATTTTATTTTGTGAAATAATTACAAAATTTTTCAAATATTATTATAATTTTTACTCATATAATATATTAAAATATATATTATGTAAAATATAATACAATAACTTTCTTGTATAATTTTTAAACATCAATAAAACCTTAACAATTTAATTAAATTATTTTCGTTTAATTCATTTTAAATATTAAAAAAATAAATAAGCAAAACTAACATATAATAGTTTCAATCTTTAATTTTTAACATATTTCACATATATTTGTATGTTATATCTATGTATGTTCTAATACACATATATATAGAATTATTTTATCAGTTTAACCAATTATAAATTCAAAGTAAGCATCAAACATTGTTACAACAATTTTCCCTAATTCATAAGTGACAAAATAATATTCATATCGCTAACTACAAAAGCAACAAATGTAATTATTTTTTATTTAATATTATACTATTTTATTTTATATTTAAATACATTTTCTACTTTTTTTTATCAGACAGAGAGTATATATAGAAACACAATAAAGATAATTTCCAGTAATAATAATTCAAATTTAAATATATATATAAAAAATATTTACAATATATTAAAGGCATATCATTAGTATTAAAAATTAATATTGTAATAAATATAAATATAAAATAACTATACGAAAGGACAATCAGCAAATTAAATAAAAATACATCAACGTAATTTAACATGCAATAAAAAAAATTTTTTTACCTTTTTCACGAATTAATAAACAATAATACTAAATTTAATTTATAACATAATACACTAATTTTGTAAAAGAAAATTAATTAAAACTTAATTGTATAAAAAAATACAAAACCGTAATTTAAAAGCAAACAAAAAAAAAGCACAAAAAATTGTTTAAATGAAATTAACATAAATATACATATATTAATATTTATAAATTAAAAACAAATGTGAATAGGTTTTTAAAATACAAGATTTCTCAAAAAACTTTAATAACATAAATAATGCTTTAAACATTTAATATATAATTAAATAAGTTTTTAGTATTTTTAATTGTGTAATGACCAAAATTGTTATTATGTCATTTTTATATATATATTCACTAAATTTTCTTAAAAACAAAAAAATTACTACATTTTAAACCAATAGAAAACCTTTTTAAATTAAAATGTGTAGCTTCTCTTTCTATTTTATAATTCAATGTGAGAAACACAAATTGTTTAACTAAAAAACATGAATTTTAGTTAACATTTGATAAGCTATATTCGTTATTGATAATTATTTATTCTGTTTTTGCTCTTATTCTAACTTGTAAATAAAACAACAAATTATTAATTTAATTGAAATAGTAATAACACATATGAATCAACTTGTTTTTTACAACAAAAACAGACATACAAACACTATTAATTATTTAAAAATATTTTACAAATTCTATAAATTTAACAAACATTGTAATTTTTACTTTTTATTTCTTTACTTGAAAAAATCAAGATATATTGCATCTTTTTAATAAATGGATAAGTACTTATATAAATAAGGTGATCATATTCACTTTATAAAAATTACCAACAAAAAGACTTCTACCGTAACTCATTTAATTTTATAGCAAATTACAAGTTTTTATCAATTTTAACAATAATTTATTTTTAATTATAAGAACCATATATATAATATATGTTTTTTTTAACTTAATCATTACTTTATAATAATGATAATATACTTCCACTTTCAATTTCTTTATTGTGTAACTATTAATAAAGAGTATAAATCACAAAATTTATTTGATTAAAAAAATTTATAAATAAAAACTAATTTTTCTTAGTAAACATAATAACAATACAATACTTTAAAAATAACATTTAATATTAAAAAAATACAATTCTTTATTGAATATTATAATTAATAAAATAATAAATAATGATGCCTGAGTCCTGAGTTATTGAGCTAGGCTCTAAAATGTTTATTTATTAAATATAAATAAAATGTCTGCATTACATGAGGGGACAAATAGGCGTAAAGGTGCATTTTACTTTAATCTTTATTTTAATTTTGTTTTTTATAAATATTACAAGTCCAATAATAATCTCTTTTATTTAAACAAAAACTATTATCATAATTTTTTTATTTGCTGTAACAATGTTGTCCTTGAATTTGTTAAAGCAATATTTTAATATATAATATTAAAAGTTTAATACATACGAATAACAAATGTATATATTATATATATAGGCATGTATCTTATTCATTTTTTTCTTGAAATAAAAATTATTAAAAAATTTAATTTCAAACACATTTTATAAAAAAATGTATCATACACCCGTTGGAGCTGCAATTTTTTTAATAAATTACATTCATTTACTTAATAGTTCAATTAATTTTTAATTAAATTAACATCATATATATGATCATAGATATTATAGTTAACAATCGCTATTAGCGTATATTTAATAAAAATTTCTTTAAGAAATATATTTCATAATAAGTGTATAAATGTTTATATAGTTTATAGTTGTTTAAAAATGTATTAATTTATTTTATTTATTTACATTAATTTTTAGTTACTTCTTTTTTAAATGTATGTAAATAACCAGCCAATATTATATTTATACAAAAATATTTTGAACGATTTTGTTTGTGTTTGAATGCTATACACATTTGATTATATGAAAAATATATATATATTTTTCGGTTTTAATACATAATTAAAAATGTTTCTTACAAAAGTGTTTTTTTTTTCTTTTTTCAATATAAAAGTTTATACATAATAAAAAATTTTTATAGTAATTGCTTTTTTACAGAGTAGTCTTTTGATAAACAAAAAATAAAACCGTAAAAAAATTATAAAACAAACAGAACATATATAAAAAAATGCGATATTATAAATTTACGATACGTAAATAATATTTTACATTTTTATCTTAATATTTTTCGCTTTTTATTCTCAAAATTCTACTAAAATAAAATATATTTCATAGATGAAAAGAAATTTCAATTCATACATCACCAATATTTTATAATAACTAATAAATTTAATTTATTAATACATAAATCCAGCTCTGCTGGCTTTATATTAAATTTTAATCCAATTTAATACCACTATCATCTGGAGTAGTCCACACTTCATCACAGAAATCTGCCATTTCTTTTTCAATATCCCGCCTATAATTGTCAAATGTATCTCCACAATTTTCATTATTTTTAGTTGGTTGAGACACAGAAATGTTGTTATTATTATTATTGACATTTGTAGAAGTATTCATCCAGAAAATATTTGTATTTAAATTCCATAGGAAAGTATCTTCCAATTTAGAGTTCTATAATTGAAAAGAAGTTAGCACTTGAAGTATATGAAACGTTAAAAAAATTAACAGAATCTATGAAATCTAAGCTCCCATTGGGAAAAATATTTTTTGTTGAAAATAAACATTTAAAAGACGCTTCAGGACGAATTCGGTGATCCAAACACGTTCATTTGACAACGGACAGCTATTTTGAGCAATTTCTTCACTGCGCTATACGTCAGTATAGTTTAGGATTTAGAATATCGATCGGACTCTAAAGTTGGACATGTTTACATGAAAACCATCAACAAGCTTTTTACTCAATGTAAAAAGTGCATATACCATATATAAAAATATATATATATGTATATGAAGAATGTAATAATTATAAAAGCTTTATTTACATTTACTCTGTAAGAAAACTAAATCTAACACTAACTTCTAATCTTTATTCTATCTTTATAGATCACTGACGGGTGGTTATCGGTAATAAGCTTATATATCATCTCAACAGATCTGTTTATTATATTAAATGTTTAAACCAATTCTACGCGATCAAAAAGATCGTGAACACTTTTTGGTATCCCAGGTTGACAGATTTGTATAGAAATCTTCGTATCGAAACCTTAGCTTAGCAATATATATACGAGACAAGATATTTAATCTTTCCAACGCAATCGAGTAAATATTTATAATAGGGAAAATTATATTAACATTCCATTAAGTAAGTTACCATTTGATTAAGTCCAAAGAACATTGGAATTTATATTTGAAATTTTTATAGTCAGTGAGAAGAAATCTATTTCGAATAGAAAGGTAGAGAAATAGGAAATATTTGAAATTCTAAAATTTAATTTTTAAATCAAATGTATATAGAGGCTAACTATACAACTATATTCATCTTCACTGATCTTTAGAAACATCTATTAATTTTCCGTATTTACATAATTTTTTCACTTATACTTTGCAAATTATAACCCCCATATCCCAAACTTACGATCTATCTTTAAGGCGAGGCTGGCAGTGAATTTAATATTTGTAATCTTTCAATAAAATGTGATTCATTCGTGTACTTACCTCTTGAGCAGTAATATTATCATTTTTATCTAGACTTTTTTCTACCAGCTGTAATGATTTTAAGCCCAAACCGAAAGCATTCTCAGCTTTTCTCTCAGCCGAATGTATAGGCAAAGCATTATTTGCGAAACTTATATTATCGAGAACATTTTTCATGCTTTTGAACTCGAATTCTGTATTTGAATTTTGTTCATTTGACTTGTAGGCATTATGCACTTCTGGTGGTAATTTGAGCGGCAAGTTATCATTCGAAAACACTGAAAAACTTTTATTACCGTCATTACTATTAGCCTTCAAACCACTCCAGCTATGCAGTAAAGGGTTTGTATTTGATGCAACATGACTTGTTGTTGCTTGACCTTTATACATAGGACATATGGGTCCATATTTGTTTCCAAGTGTACTAGAGGACGGATGAAATGTAGCAGCATCATCATCCAATATTGAATCAGATCGCACGAAACTATCTCGATCCCGAAAACCATCCGTTCCAGTTGCACCAATATTAGCACTTTCAACTGCTGTATTACTTTCTTGTGTATAAATATCCAAAACATTTGAAATATCACCACTACGTTGCAAAGTCGTCATTAATTTATTACCAGGTTGAACATTATTTGGATTTCCATTCCAAATAGCTGGTGTAGATTTCGAACTGTTAGACATATTTTGTACTATATCGGAATTCTCATTAAATGATGTTTTAAACGAAGCATCTTTTGGCACTCTCGTAGCATTTTTATGCACCCTGCGCAATGCATTCGACGAAAGACGAAATGCTTTAACGTTATCCATAATTGTATCAGGTACCTTCATGTTATCACATTCATAAAATGTCTTATCTTTAGTTATTACATTACCAGCACGATGTGATAGATTTGACATTTTAATTGAATTAATACCTGGAAGAAAGTTTGTCGTATCGTCGCTACGTTGTAAACCAGTAACCAATTCTTGCACACATTGCTCATTAGGTACGTTCTCTTTCCAAATTGATGTTGGTGATTCTGTACGATTACAAATAGTTGTGTCTATTTCAAAATTCTCATCGGAAAGCAAGTCATTTGATCTAAGCAATGTTTGTATATTATTTTGCTCGTTCCCACCAGATCTAGATGAGTTTTCTTTTGAAGACTTTTGTTGCTGCTGTTTTTCACGGCCTGAAGTCTTTATCATATTTTTATGACCCTTGCGTATAGCATTTGGAGCTGAATGAAATTTTGTATTTCCATCGTTCAACATTATATCAGGCCGAACTAAAGTATCATGATCATAAAATGCGTCATTTGACATGAAGGTATCAGCTTTAGTAATATCAGAAGTTTCCGATAAATTAATTTGATCCATTGCTTGAATGAAATTATGTATGGTTTGCTCAGACATATTTCCCTTCCAAACAACAGCTGGAGAGTCCGGTTTAGGGCAAATATTTTGCACAATTTCAAAATCATCATCTACTGGAGTAATGTTATTTAATCTAAGCAACGTTTGGGAGTGTCTAAGCGAATTGTCATTTACATGACCTTGGTGCTGAGTTTGTTGCTTCTTTTGGTTCACCCACATGGAATTAGAAGTTGCTAGTTTCGAAGCGTTTAATGGAATTGAAAAATCTGATGATACTGTTGAATTATTGCCACTGCCGAAGAATGAAGAATTTGGATTTACTGCACCCGTATTGTAAAGATCAGATGCTAACACATTGTAAAGACCTTTTGAACCGAATTGTGTATCAAAGCCAGATGCATTATTTCCTAAATATTTCGGTGGGTTAACGGTGGTCATATTCGCCGACGGTGGCAATGTTGAAGGTTGAAAAGTTGTAAAATTCATGGATGGCAATATTCCGCTATTAGTTTTGCAAAAGGAATTTGGTGAAACAATTCCAGCCGGTGTTGGTGAATTAAAATTTAATGGTTGATATGACGGATCGTAGCAATGCAAAGGTGGCACATTTATTGGTGGTACTGGACCAGCGCCTAGTAATACATTACTGCCCGTTGGAATTGGGCTATGATGCATTGAATGTATATTATGTCCGCCTGGTGGAGAATTAGTATTTAATGGCGATGTAACCCTGTAATTACCACGATGAGGTTTTCCATGTCCAGGTGTGGCATACCGCATTGGTGATGTAGAAACCGAGGTAGGGGCTGTGGAATCATCGCCAGGATGTAACATCACTGTATGCGGACTATGGTGATTATGTTGTAATTGAAAATCGTTCTTACAATTCGATGAGTTTTGACTGTTTCCACCAGTGTGCATGACGTGTTTCGAATTTTTCCGACTTTTGGCTCGATAACGTTCAAGTTCTTCCTCAGTATGGGCAAATGTACAACTTGATCCACGTGTGCATATTTTTCTAGCAAATAGATCGCGGCACAAGCTAATTTTATACTTTGCATTAGGATTCATTTGTCCAATGGAACAGTCTGGTAGCTTCCGATTTCCGTGATGTTGCATGTACTCTACTAAACCAACAACGACAAAACGTACTGCATCCAATGCTTTTGCAACCTCTTGCCAAGAAGGGACTGTATCCACTATAGGATCTATATTAGCAAGCAATTTTAAGTGTGCATGTAAACTTGAAAGATTTGACGGGTCGCTTGTGCGCTGCAATGCTATAACTAATTCTTGCACAGATTGAGCGAACGATGAAGGTGTTTGTAATTTATCGATTATACTCTGCATATGTGATTTATGCATTGTGTCACCGTATAATAATGATGACCATTGCTCAGGTGCAATACGTAAACCCGCTTCTGTGGCAATTTGAACAATCTGAGCGTCATGTTCGCGTCGCAATGTTTCATAAGTACGAAACTCTTCTTTCAATTGCATCAAGGATGAATCAGCTTCCCGTTTCGAGACTTTAAAACAACTGGCACGATAAAGTAGTTGCACTACATGACCAATACTAGTTTTTGAAGCTTGTGGATAGTGTAGCTCTAGTTTTTTAACAACAGACATAACCAGCTCCTTACGAGACAAAGCTTTTCCATCCTAAATGTATGCATATTATTTATTATAAAATAATGCTATAATTATAACAGTTTACCTGTAATGCTAGTAGGACTAATTTAAGCACTTGCTCTTGCATAGGTGGACCCAAAAATTGACAACCACGTGATCGAACAGCAGCCCACAAATTAGAACTTAACTGCTGCGGATTTTGATGTTGTAAAATCAACTCGGTAACAGTACGTTCTCCCAATGAACGTGCAGCGCGTAAAGCACGAATACGACCTTCGACTTCTATTAGTTGACAGTTCACAAGGGTCACCAATTTACGTTGCATTGGGCGTGACAGCATAGTCCCAACATTGCCATTTGTTAGCATCGGTTTAAGATGTAGAGCTAAGTTTTCGATACATTTCTTAGACAGTCTGTAGCACTTAAAATCTTCGCCAACGAGAGCACGCACACTTGGTGGCGAGTTTTCAAAGATGTCTTCATCATTAGCCAAATTCGCGCAGTTGCTACTGCCGATTAACTGAAGTAATGCAAAGTTGACAGGCAAATTTTCGATATCAGTCGTAATTAAAGTCTAAAGAAAAGCAATTTAATTCCAAATTTAATATTAACTAAATGATTTTTAATTGATTATCAACTTACTTGATCGAAGGGACATTGACGATTGTGTATTGTTCCAAGGCACAAACGACATATTGTATGACAACATCCGAGGCTTATCGGCAAACGCTGATTAGGTGCAAATTCGTTGCAGCAAATCGGACAGGATAGAAATTCTGTCCATGATGGCGCCTGAATTGGCATTCTATAAAATTTATAAAATAAAAACGTGAACATTTTATAAAGAAGTAAGATATTGGGTAGTAGCTATATGTCCACCCTTTTGACTAATTATTGCCTTACTATATCTTCAAAACTATTCTAACACATGGTGAAATGTACTATTTTATTCCAAAATATAGTAAGAAAATAACAAAATATTCACATTCAAAAAATGAAATAAGATTTTGGAACAGGTAAATACCTTCGAATAAATTTGCGAATAAGGTAGGTACTACTATTATGTCACTCAACTCAACAAGCATGTAGGAAACAACAAAGATGGTGCTCATTAATCATTGTATTGATATTGATGCTTATAACAATCTAATCTAAAAATCGTATGTTGATAAAACTTTATTTTTAAAGAGAAAAATGTGCTATTCAAATCCGATCGTGATTTGAAAAGTCTGCTTTATATATAAATCTTAAACAGACGTTTAAAAAAACTGTACCACTCTCAAAGAGACTTTTGTTTTCTGATTTATAGAACTTCAGGGTTACAATAACGATAATAAGAATAACGAATATTTTATACCATTAGTTGCATTTTAAGAAAAAAATTTGTGACACCAAATAAAGAAGAAAACAGATATGGCTTATAGAACAGTGTAACGTAACAAGTTGATCACATATAAATCAAAAATGTCAAACAAATACCCGCTGGGAAATGATGAACGGTGCTTGGTCGTCGTATTTGAAGGGTGACTTCGGTACAGAGACATCCCAAACAAACCCACTTTTTCTCATTTACCCCCCACTTAATCGATAATATAGAGCTTTGTCGGCTACAACGACAACAGCAACAACTCAATCACAACTTTTATTTGCTTCCATAGTTTTCTACCTAAAAATGTTTAAAAAAAAATATGCTTCTATAAAAAAGTGATCGCCAAATAGAAGTCTAAATTGGAAAAATACACCATTCTAAAAAAGAGGTAACGAAATATTAAACAAGCGTTTATAAAAAATCTACCACTCTCAAATTCTATTTTGCTGAATAAAATCAAAGTTGTTGTTTATTAGTCATCTTACGAACTAATTAAAACAAAAATTTTTACCCAACTTTTTTCTTTATTTTCTTACTATTACTTCTCAATGGCGTATCTGGAGAAGGGTATTAGGGGATAGATCCAACATCCCCTATTGTAGATTGACAATATAATATACACTTATTATATTCCCAAACTACACTGTCACTGCTACTACCCCCGTGAGTAAGAGAATAGTAAATATTCCTGAGACAAAGCATGCCAGTACGTACTTGAGATGACTACAATCTAGTTGGGACCACCCAATACTGTTTGGAGTATAAATCCTAGTGAGTGTGTTTAACTTACTACACACGACCAGAAGTATAAATAACTTCTGCTGTTCTGAGTAATTGAAGTCGGTTCTATTATTGGGAGTATAGCGGTAGCTGTGATTAAAAACCAAAGTTAAGTGGATAGAAAGTATATGTATAGCTTTAATTGTTACTGACGAAACTTCTTGAAATTCCAGTGGGTGTATTTAACGTTACATTATACGGATATTTCTGTTAAGAACAGTGTGGTGTTAAGCCCTAATGGCAGAAATCACTTTAAAAAACTATGGACTCTGTCACCGTTACTCCAGACTGAACTATGATGATATAGTATATTTATCAAATAGTAAATAAATTATTAAATTCATATAAAACTCACAGTTCCATTTCCGAGATTAGCGAGTTATTTTATATTAAACGATCAATATATATATATAACTAAAGTATAAAGAAACAACTTCAATAATCTACTATTCTCCATATAATGAAATATTTCATATACTCGTAAACAGTTGTGTTCGGTAATGTAGGTAACTTATGCGCATTGTTGTTATTTACGATTGTGTTAAGTTTAAGACCTTTCCAACTACTGCTTACTTAGGCAATTCCAGTCTTTTATAAACAAAAGCAGAAAAACTTCTGCAAATATATATAAAAAACAAAACAAAACAAATACTGACATATGGTTTATAGACCGAAAGAAGATATTTCAGTGAAAGATATATCAAATGACCAAAGATTAACAAAATAAACTATGCAGTAAATTTGTCATTTCTCACGTTTGAAAGACTCGATAAAATATATGTGCCACTTTTCAACTCTTTAATCTTTAGAATTCTTTCATTTATTTATAATTTTGTTTCATAGTTTTTTTTTTATCGGATTGTTGTGTTAGATAATTGCAAAAGATAGAAGCGATTAAATCATCTTTGTTTTTGAAGTTCAAAACTATAAAATATTGTGTGACTTCAGCAGAAGTTGAATAAACAAATTCGAATCAAAGCTGGAAGCATAAAACTGAACGACGACGTCAGCAGTAATTTTTGAGTCATTTTACTAATTATCGTATGAAAAGTCAACATTGTTTGTTTTCTACAATACACTTATTCATTATCAATATATTTTATTTAATATTTTCTTTTTTTTTTAATAAAATAAATAAATATTTTGAAGAATTTTAGATAATTGTTGTGATCTAAGTTTGAAGAGTTTTCATAAGAAATTAGTATTGAAAAACAGCTGCTATCCGTTTGCCATCATAAGACATTAATTAACTCCCCTTCCTCTAGACTTCAATGCAAAAAACAATTGTGAAATATTGAGGGAATGAAACTGAAGTATTTAAGTATATGTAGTAACTCACACACCCAAACGCACTCACAGCGCAGACAGTTATTCAGACTCACTGTGGTGTAAATGTTGTTTTCATTTGGTTTGCCTTTGTTTTTTGTTTTTTTTTTCTTTCTGAATACATAGCAGAGTGCAGCAGCAGCAGCACATACTTGTAGAAAACAAAAGAAATTGTTGCTCAGTTTTTGTTTGTGTGTATATTCACTTTTACACATAAAATTTAGTTCACAGCTGCTTTAACAAATTTTTTTATTCAGCTGGAGTGAAAAAAAAATTTATGTGTGTAATAACTATATATTCAAAATTAACATATTAAAATATTTACTTCTTATGAAATTGCAGACATTTTTGCATTGACTTTTTTAAAATCGAAAAGTGGTGCAATTTTATACATTTTTGAAAAACTCTACGCGGGGGCGGCAGAAGAGGTGATAAAGGTCGTCTGTTGGCATCTTGATGACAACAACAAAAACTCTAAACCAACGTCAGCAGTAAAGTTTTTTTGTGGCATATATTATTTGGGACATTTTTCAATGACTTTTATGCAAATTTTTTCCTTTTTTGGTATTACGTTTACACTATTCTATTTGTTAGAAAGTAGATTTCATTACGCAGATATTAGTTAACAATAAAATTTGGTATTTTTTTTATTTTATTTTTTTTTTTTTGAATGTTACGTTTCACTTTTATTATTTTCAGTCTTTTCTTTTTTTTTTTTACTACTTTGTCTACGCACCTTACACACACCACATATTTTGACGATATATTAATATTAATTTGCTGCCCCGATTTTGCTTATTTGCTATATATTTCCTTCCACCTTTTTATAAAATTTTTTTCCAAATATATATTTTGTAGAATTTATAAAAATTTAAAAATAAAACAAAAAATCATACAAATTTGTATGAAACCAACTCCGTTATGTGTTCGTCTATAACTGATTAAAGTCTGATTTACTTAAAATACGGAATGTAGGTACGTAAGATATTACGTTTCAAAAGCACTGTTGCATTTAGTGGTAAAACGTATCTTTGCATCACTTTTTAGTAATTTACACAACGAAATCCAGGCGTATGCTTCATTACGTTAGCGCAAAGAATTTATTCTCATTTTATTTATAATCTAATAAAATAATACTAAATATATATTTATTGTTTATAATAACAAGTTATTAAATATGTTTATTATTAAATTAATAACTTTTTTAGTTGTATAATATTTTTTCTCCCTGAATAAGTCAAATAAATTTCGAAACGTCGGCGACATTTATATAAAAAAAGTATATAAAATAAAAACTAACTAATTTGTATGGAATCATATTTTACAAAAGCTTTAAACAAAATAAATAATACTTTTAAGTGAACTTAAAATTATTCTAAACTAAATAAAAAAACAAAACAACTTAGTTTATATATGTTTTGTGTAATTTAGTTATATATTTAATTTTGTATCTTAAAACTATATAAATTAAAATGTTTTCTTTTGAGACTTGATCCCAATAAAACCACCTCTTAGGAATGAAAGGAAAAAATTTCCACAGCATTGTCGAAATTTCATTCTAGTAATAAAGGAATAATAAATACAATACTTTTACATATTATATGTTTGTATACATAATTTTAATATTATTTATGTGTATAATAATATTATGTGATCATTGCTTAGTCCTCTGGTTGTACCTTCCGTTGATTTTGTACGAGCGAAAGACTGTGACGAATTGGCTTGACACTGACGAGTGTGTCGCATATTTAGACTGAGCAATGTAAATGTTCTACCTCTTTCATATGTTCAACTTCAAACTTTGCTTTATTAATAAATTTCATCGACAAAAGTTTTCTTTGAAACAAAAAATTAAATAATATAAAGCGAAAATACCCCATATGTTCAAACACCTGCAGTACTCAGTTGCAATTTGCAATTTGGCGAAATGCAGGGAAGTGCTCATTTTTGCCGGCGAGTTTATGGCTAATGACACCAAAATTTAAATATTGTTAAAACTGAACTTATTCATTCACTTTACTACTTTATTTAAGAATATTTTGAAGAGTTTATAAAAGGTATATATACCTTGAATCTGGATTTTTTAATTTGCAAAAAATATTAACACAATTCATGGTTGGAAAAGTATTCCTTAAGTAAAACCAGTACTTATAATCATCGGTTAGGATAAGTCACCTTGTGTACCAAAGCTCAAATAAGCAGAAATCATGAATTGTTGTGACACCACGAATGAAGCAGTCAACACGCCAAGCCCGAAGGACTACCTGAAAGACGGAATTCCAAACTATCTAGTGCATGAACAATGTCGGTTTGAAAAGGTTGTTTATATTTTTTTTCCTGAAGGAAAACTTAAAACACTTTTGTGTTGGACCTTGTTTTTATTGACTTAGTATGATAAACTGCAGACATAGATTTGCAGATTAGTAAACAATTTATTAGATTGTATGAAGAATATAAAGTACACCAATAGAAAACAATTTATAACAATTTTAGATTTCTTGTGTTTGCAACTGTCTGATCTTAAAACCGCTTTTCACCGAGATCTTTTCAATACAGATTTTGTAAAATGGATTGATTGCTTGTGCTTCTTTAATTGATTATTGCCATACTTTCGCTTGGTGCAATTAAATCAAATTATCATTTAAGCTCCCATTTGACATATATGGAAGAAAACTTATTTATGAAAATATTTGATGCTTAGCTTAGACATCTTCTATATGATACTGTTAGCTTTGGTAGAACTAAACTAACAACTTCCTTATTAAAATTTTAACAATTTTTTAATTCTATTTACTGAAATATATTAATTGTTTTTACTTATATATTTTCCAACCTAAACTTTTATTTCGAAAATGCTGTTAATATTTTTAAGGTATAACCACTACTATAAACTTTAAATTTAAAGATACTTTAATAAGCAGATATACTTACTTTAAAAAAAACTGTTCCATATTTTTTACAATGAATTCATAAAAATATGTATTAAAACGAATTTTTAAAAAATGTTTCCATTAAAATTGATATGATACTTTCATTAACTTTTTAAATTAATTTGGAACAAGTTTTCAATGAAATCCTACAATATGATATCAAAATATTATATTTTCTAAATCTAGAATAGTCTTAAAAATCGTATATCTTAAATTAAGTTGACTCCATATTTGTTTATAGCAAATGCCTGCTTCATAAATTAGTCTGGAAAAGCATTGGACTTTAAAAAAATATAATTTTCGTCTATTTGAAGCTTGCAGAGCTACACTTTATTTTGTGTCAAACTCCATTTTTCATATTATGCAGCGTAAGGCAAAAATGTAATCTACAATTACTTATCTTTGATCATTCATCTTCATCGTTAATTTTGTAAAATAGTCTATATTTATAGATCACCGTCTTTTTGATTATGGCTCTTCAAAGGGTTTAAAAGTGAAGACATAACTACCAGTCTCATTCAAATGCAATTGATCCATTCCATCGCTGCTCGGTGGTTTACATAAACCGTTTTATATGCCTAGGCTTGAGTGTCCTCATCTATCTATCTGAAGCGTCCAGTACAAATATAAAACATATACCTACTATCTGTAAAGCAATCAATTTATTTACATTTATTTAAGACATATGCTCAATAAATAATACATTCATTAAGGATAAAATCTTCTGAATCTTCGCACCCAATTAATGACTTTGTTAAAAGTTATACTATGGACAGAATCCTGCAGCTTCAGTTGCAGCATGTAGTGGTTTAACAAACTGTTTAAATGAATTTATAAGGTGATTTGATTATACTTTGTAAGTTAAACTTACTTTATTTTCTGTAAATTATATATGTTTACTTTGTCGTATTTTTTTTATTATTTTGCCCAATTTATTTTTTAGTAAGTAGAACGACAAGCTACAGTGTGACAGCTAAAATTATAGCATCAACTGCAGCTTTGTGGCTGTTTAGTAGGTCTCATTTCAGTCTCATTTCTAACATCGAAATTATCTATGGTATTTTAACGGACCATTTTTTGTGCTGTAATGGGTTTTGGTATGCAAAGCCTTACTTAAACTAATATTGAAATAAACACACTTAAGTGAAACATCCTTACTCATAGGAAACGTTTAAAAGATACCAACAACTCAAATTAAGTAACCATGCAATATATATTGTAGAATCATATTCAATAAGAATGAACTTTAAAATTTAGTTTGGCTTTAATATTTTTTAAAAACATAATTAAATGCAAAACTTTTTGTTAAAAATTCAAACTGTAACTTTTATGAAAGCAGTTGTAAAAAATAATATATTTATTCTAATATTTTACAATACCCTACATTCTTATTTTTAATATAACTATAATGTAATAACTGATATAAAAAAATTTAAACAAATCGTAATTCATAATCAAACAGTTTTATTAAAAATAATTAAAACAAAAAAAATTCGCATATTGTGATTGATTTGTTATAGAAAAAAATTCTAATTTCTTAGTTAAATAATAAAATAAATATAAATTCTGCATCCGCGCTTTAACATTCCGAAGACAATTTTTTTTATATATGTACATAATTAAAAATTGTAGACAATATATATATATATAAAACAATAATGTTTAATAAATAATATTTATTAAATATACATATATCAAACATTTTCATTAAAAAATATTAATAAATATTTTTAAAAATATTAGTTTTTTCCTCATTGTAAACATTATAAATTAGAAAATTAACTAAATTTTAGTATAGAATTAGTTATGTACCTATTTTTCAATATATTTATAACTATAACAACAACTACCAACAGATAAACTTCATTATATACTAATTTGGGCTTTTAGCTTAATAATGTAATAAATACATTTACAAAACAATGAAATGAGTACAAATTTACAATCCAGTTCATTCACTTCCATTATAATTATATTTATGTTTAATTTTTTTATTTTATTTTTTGTTTTTGTTTTGTGAAGTGAATTACATTTGGTTACAATCCATTTCATAAAATATATTGTAAGAAAAATATTTGTCTTGGACTGTATTAAATATATTTGTTTATTCATTAAATTTCTAGTCATTGTACGTCTTCATTTTTCTTTTTAATATTGTGTGATTTGCATGATACATTGTGTGGTGCGATACAAATTAGTGGCACATGCAAAGGGTACAATGTAAACATTATTGTGCGCATCAGTTCATATTTAGTTTGAGTTCGTTTTAGCTTCAGCGCCATAATTTGATGCTTTGCTCATCTTCGACATATTGATCGCTTTCTCCATAAGTAAATAAACTGCAATTAATAAAAATTTATTTAGTGTTTTCAAGTTATGTGATAATAATACTATAATTTTACATATTAATAGTATGCCAAATACAACTGATAATCCAATCCAGTTCTTCAATAACAGTGCTGTAACAATATAATGTATCACCAAATACATAGATACAATCGCCCAACCAACAAAATTAAGCAAAGTACTGAGTCTTCGTTTATAGTATTTAAATTCAGTTTCCTTGAAACCTGATGTTTTGAAGAAGCTACCAGTTGTGTGAAAACTATCTAGAATTTTATCCTTTTCTCTGTAAAGATTTTGTAGCCATTCTGCTGATTGTTCCTCACCAACAGGTATATCTTTTACTGGAAGGCGGCGAACAAACATATATCCTTCTACAGATTGACCATTTAAAAGGCTTGACATAGTAGGAGAAACCTTAGCAAAAATTAAAATTTATAAATTTAAGATTTTATATAAATTAAAACTTTTTTAAAACTTACTTTTGCATCCTTTTTAAATACCAGATTAATATCATAAATTGCAGGACAACCATTGCGTAAACTTTCTAAACTGGCAGTGAAACCTTTTGTGCGTGGTATTAAATGATGTTTTAACACTGGCATGCCACGATTTATTGCGAATTTAACAGAGGCCTCATGTTTTTTAGGTGTAAACCGTGTGCCTTCAGCACTTAAAAGTAACCACGTTGGATCGGGATAATCATATACTTCTTTAATTTGTCGCGATATGATTTCTTTATCTTTATCAAAAGAGCGTTCTAAAAATACAAATTCTGCGAATTTCCACGCCCAACCAATTACTGGCACATATGAAATAACTTTTTTTGCATACGCTTTACAATTGCCCAACACACCGACCTTTTCTGTAAACATCCAACCAGCTAGCCAATCAATTTCATAGCTATGGTTCATTACAAGAAGTACATGCTCATTGCCAGCATATTTTTTCTCATCTTCGGCATCCATATATACTTTCATTGTACTACTCGACCACCAATCCGCAACAAAAACCAATTCTGTAAATAAAATATAGTTAATTAGATCCAAAATTACTTAAAGCAAATCTTCAAAGTATTAAAACTTACGTGAATATAGTGAATAGCAGAGGTAGTACATGATTTTTCGGCAGAGGCGTTTATTTATAGGCTTTATAAATAATGTCAAAAGTAATTGTGCTAAATTTATAAATAGACCCGACGTGAAAAATGTTATGGGGATGACCATATTCATTATTCTCGTTTTTCTTAAAACCTTCACAATCGTTGCAGTCATCTTGAAATGACAATGTTTTAATTATTTCGCAGCTTCAATGAAAGAGATGAATGTTATTTACTGAAATAAAGAAGAAAAAATTATTAACAAAAGTACAATATTTTTTATAATAAGTGAAACTGAATATAACTTTGTATGTTAATTATGATAAGTTACATAATTTATGTTATATATTTTATTTTTATTATAAACATATTATATTTTGCAATTTTGCCATGCCAAATACAGGTTGTTTTTCTCAAATTTATTTACAATCCCATTAAATTTCTTAATTTTCAATACTCCAATGTATATTTATTTTACTCTAATTTAAACAATTAAACTGCAATTATAATATTTATTGAATATTTTTGCTTCTTCTACAATTTCATCATACCAATCTGACTAATGCAATCCATACCAATCACGTGCCATTCTACCATGCAATATGTTATTAAACGATTATAAAGGAAATTCATAAGAATTCACTTTTTGGTTTAAAATTTGAGTCAAAATAATGCGAAAATATGGTAAAGTATTTTACCATGAAAAAGTTTTCAACGAATGGAGTCCTCCCCTAAAATTGATTGAATTACCAAATTATTTAAACAATTGTCCCTGTATGGCCAGCGCTTTACTATTAGAATTCTCTGAAATATATGTAACACTGTCTTCAACCCCAAACTAAATTAATGTAGAAAAACTCACTTGACTCACAGTTGAGCAATACAACTACAACGTCTTATCAAACGTCCCAACACTTTTGAATGATATCACCAATTTGCTATTTGTGAAAAAGCTGATATATTTTTTTTTTAATTTTTTATTAAATTTCTCAATCCTCGGGACCACATATATAATATTGAAGAACTTGAAAATCTTACAATTAATTGGTAACAAATAAAAATTTACTACAGTTTTAAAAGTCTACCCAAGCTGACTGACGTCTGTCACATCTATGAAAAATAAGATATATAATAGATATACTTTTTATTATTTTTATACCTTTTTTCATAATAATTTTTCAATATTATTTAATTAATTCTGAAGTCTAAAACAAATGAAATTTATATTCTAATTTCTATATATTTGATATAAAACATTAGCAAAGTAATTAACTGTGTTAAGCAGCTAATGTTAGATTTAAAATCAACATTTAGGGAAAAATTAATTCCCTAATGTTTTAACTAATTAGTGCTACATAAGCGCGATTATTGTTTGGATAATATATTCTTATCATAGATGTCATAATTATGTGATTTAACTCAAAATCATAAAGTCTAGTGTACAAACTTTTAATATAATATACATATATATTGAAATTATAACACCTGAAGCCACCCTCTTACTACTACTAATTATACTGTCATCTGAAAAACCTGTAGTTTTAATTACTATAGGAATTGGGATCGTTTGCTTCATCAATTCGTTTATGTAAGAATGATTTTTAGTTAATATACTAAGTTTGTAATCCATTTTAATAATCTGGAATTTTCAAGGGGCCTTAATGTATCCCTTAATTCCATATCTACAGAAACATGCCTAAATACATACAAACAAAACACTCATTGCAGACTGTAAGAAAGCTCAATGTGTTCTGGTTTCCTGGATATAGGTACTCTGAAAAAAACAAGATAGCTGACAAATTTGGTAAGCTAGGCAAGCATAAATCCCCGGAGAACGAAGGGCATTGGTCATTATTCTTACAAGCTTAAGAACTGTAAAGTAACCTACCTAAACTATCTGAAACTCTCACAACCGAAAATTAGTCAATTTTGTATTCGTTCTTACTTGAAAGGACTGCAGAGCAATAATTGGTACAACATTGGGATATTAAGGATGATTCTAGAACCTAATATTATTTTTATATTAACTAAATTGGTTATTTGAATGTGTACATTTCATCTTGTAATATATTATATATATTATAAATAAATAAAGGGAATAAAATAATTTAACATATAATTTATTAACGTTGATCTCATTTTGTTCCAATATAAGGTCTAACGTGCGTTAGACATATATCGACATATGCCATTGAAACAAGAGCCGATATGAAAACCACCAAACAAGCTATATCCAAAACTGAAATGTACACTCAGTGCTCGGTAGCTGGCTTCACTCGTCGGAACCGATTGCGCAATGACGATAGTAGGCGAATCTACGAGGTACCGGACATAATTAAATGGAGTACACGGAAAGAGAAGGGGTGGAATCTGCTGTCAAAGAATGGGAAATGGCCGATGGCTTTTTTTTTAAGAACATGCTTTTCTCATCAAGACAGCACTTCGTAATATTGAAAATGTTTATATAGATATTTCTTAGAGCAGGTTCGGTTTGGTTAATCTGGCTAGACGTAAGCTACGCATAGATGTATTAACCATTAGCGATATCAGATAGAGTTAAAACTCTGAATAGATTTTGTGGTAGGAATTTTATTGTATTTTTACCGCGAATTTAAGTGCTTGAAACTCTACTTCTGAGACAGAGAAAGTAAACATTTTGTCAATATTTTTTGTATCAGTTATTCTTAGACTATATCTTAGTGGGATTTGAACTCAGATTCTGTATTTGTTTCTTACAGTAAGTTTTTGTCAAATTATTCTTCTATTTTTAATGTAATTAGTTGGTATTCATGTAAAATTATTTTTGATTTTTTTAGTGCTATTTGGTGACACTTTTATATTTCGTTTTTATTTTAAGTGAAGTTAACTAACACGTTGTGTGTGTTTTTTTTTACTGAGTTGAGAATCGACTGATCTGACTTGTAAACTCTCTTAATTTGTTTCATGAAATTGCCTCTAAACTTTCTAAATAATTAGAAATAATAAAAAAATTTTTATTTTATATATTTTTTTTCTATTTTTGATTTTTAAATTGCACTTTTGCTGCCGTTTATTTTAACAGATATATCTGAACTAAAGTGAACACTAGCCAAGCCATGCGAGCCATGTGAAAGGGTTTACTTTAATATAATTAATATGCATTTTATTAAAATTATCTTAGTATTACGAGTTATTTTTCAATTATATTTCATTGAAACATAAATATATTCGACAGGCCAGTGTGGCCTTTCAAAAATAGGAGTTATTCTTGATTTTTATAAGGCAAAAATAACAATTATTTGTGGGTTTTAAAATAAAAAGCAGTATGTAAGATTTATTTTTGATGAATATAATATAAAACAAATTTAATTATTATTTTTTGAGTATTATTTTAAAATAATGCATAATATTAAGGATGAAAATTGTTAGAATGATAACTATATGAGTTTAAATATGAGTTTAGTAAACTTTTTGTTGCTGTGTTCTTAAAAATTTTTTAAATAACTGTCATTTTCGGTCCCTGATATTAATAATTAATAATTCACTTTAACAATTTGCAACGTTTCACAGTTCACATTTGATTTATTATAACTTAAACGTTTTTATAAAAACAAAATCTGACATACAGAATATTTTTTTATTACATGAAAAAAACAAGATAATAAACCTTTTAAAAGAAATTTTTATTTAGAAATAGTAATAAATTTGCATTTATATTTTTTCCTTTACAGTAACTTGAATTAAAGTCCAAGAAAGAATTTGAAGTCCTTTCTTCTGCAGTTATTAACTTTTAATATAATGCAAAACTAGAACTGAACATTTACTTTTACTTCAGTTATTTTATTCAACTATATATAGAGAAGCTTCTGTATTCATCATATAAAAAATTGTTTTATTTAAATTTTTGTTCCATTAAACATTTCAACACAATTTGAAAACAATTGAAAATGTAGAAAAACTCACATGAATAGTTGATTTAATTAAACCAGAAAAAGAAACTTAACTTTCTAAACACTTTCATTCGATAGAACAGACTAAATTTGAAAATAATTTTTTTTGTAACTTTGTTCGAACAATCATAAAATAATAAATTTTAATACATATTATAAAATTTTGTTAAACATTATCACATTCCTCTACAAGTTATAGCGCGATTGGAAACCGAAACGTAATTATAAGGCAATTTCGTATTTTACTATTTCAATTATTCAAAAAAAAAAAAATAAAAGCCGCAGTATACAACAACAAAGCGATCAATTTTAATACGTCCCTCACCCTCACAGACTACCTTTCCAAAACCTATATACATAATACACTGTATGTATCAATATCAAGCACCTTAGACCGGTCGAATTTATTAACACATTAATAATTATAAAAAAACATATACACATATATGCGTACATATTTTTGCAAAACTTTATCGTGATACTACTGAAAAAAAAGTTGTATATATTAATTATAATAATAAAAATAATAATAATGAGAAACGTATAACATGAAATGTATCACTCCATGATTAAATCTTATCGCTAAGTAGAAATGGAAAAGGCAAAGTCTAAACAAACACCAAGAAAACTTGATCGCTTCTAGTAGTGAATGGGGGTCCCGTTTCATGTATACTACACGTCATGGCAGTCAGGTTGGATAAGTGAAGTATTTTGATTTTTTTCTTTAACTAAAATAAAAAAACTTGCATAACTGATTTTATATTTATAAGTAAATATATTTGAAAATACAACAATAAAAATTGATATGATTAAACTATACATATTGTGTATTATGCAATGACCCTACACTTATTTATTCTATGGAGAATCAATTATTTATTTATGCTACATATAAATATATTATGTAGTCATCGATATGGTTGGTTGCAGTTGCAGGCTAACACAGAACTTTCTATGTAACTCAATTAGCGATTTTTGCCATTATACTACCACATTTCTCACAAGAATACCTAAAATAGATGTATACAAACTAAATCTATCACGTCGTATTTAGATAATTTAATAGATTTTTCGTCTTTACCGATGAAACGTCTAATAAACCGTCGAAGAAATATCTCCCTAAAAATCTAATTAGGATGTCAAAGCCTGGCATTTGCAGAGAAAGTATTTATAGTTTCTTTTTTCTGCAGGTTTCCACATATCCAGTAAGGAATTTCTGCAGCCCCATTGCAACCAACTTAACAGTGTAAAAGATTATTCTTAAATTCTTTTTATTAGAATATTTGCAAATACCATATAAAGAAGATTGATGCACATAGTGAAAAAATTATATAGAATAGCAGATCAGTCGGTTTGCTCCGTCCGTCTTAATATTTAATAAAGAAATTTGTATTATTTTTTTTACATTTCCTTCCAAATTTAAAACCTTTCAGCGGAATCTTTTTTAATAATAGAACTAAATTTTATAACTGTTATATAATTAAAATTAAAATTATAAATTTAATTAGATAATATATTTTCTGGATTCCTGAAATGTCATGCCAGCTTATCAGTTTTAACGAAACCATCAATATGTAGAATTACACAGGTGAAACAGTTTTTTATTATGCTAGGAACGAGCAAATGCATATATATATATATATATATATATATATATATAGTTATATCTGCTGAAATTTCTATGCATTTTGAAGTTAAACTATAGCCTACTATAGCCTGGTATTTTTACTAAAAAAAAGTGCACTATGGTGAGTACACTACCGTTTTCAACACAGATATGTATTTATTACCTATATCTATATTAATCTGTTTTCAACGAGAAGACTTCAGACTTATTGCCCTATAGTTATTTCGGTAGCCAGGGAATTATTTTCTTGTTTAGGAATAAATATTATTATACTTCAATATTATAAAAAAGTAAGTATTCCCTGATTAAGAATGTAACAAATTGCTTTTTTATTGGATGAAAGCTGATATCTGTGCCTCTCTGTTTAAAAGCAGGAATGATATATTCAACACCAAGTTCATTAAAATACTGAATGGAATTCATTTAACCATGTCATATTAAATATAACATCAGATATGCAAATTAATA